AACAGCAAGGTTTTTTGAGCTTTTTTAACAAACTAATGAGGATATTCTGTCCAGACCTGGAGAGCTGGCAACCTTTAGGACTTTTATCTTCTTTAGGATATCTTGGGTTGTGATTTGGATAGTCGTAATTTCATTTGGTACCCTGTTGAAGTTTATTTGGAGGTCTTCAGGAATTAATGCCTCTGTTGTGGTGAATACTTTAGAAAACTCGTTTGCCAGGATGGTGCCTTTCTCAATATTGTCTGTGGACATTTCCCCATCTGGAGTTTTTATTTTTATATTCAAATAAGCTTTATTGCCCAAAAATTTCACAATTTCATTGACAAAGCAATAAGGAATGTCTTATCGTTACTTAATATTTAAAATTAATGTAACATCCAATTAGTTCAAACTGAATAAGCACAAGATAAGAACAATTTGACAGTTCAAAACAAATTACAACATTCACATTAACTGACATATTTATAAAGTATAACACATAACACTATAGCTACCACATTCAATCTTCATAAAATTCAGTAAAACCAGAATATACCTTGACGACCAGATAGTGTTTTACAGACATACGGAGGCTCTCATAGCAGTTCCTATGTTTAATGTCTTGAGGTATCTAGATGGTTAAACATTCTTACATTTTCATAAATTATTGAGTTTTTTGTAAGGGAAAGCTTTGGTATTGGCAGCAGTAGGTAGTTTTGCATTATACTGTAGTTCCTGTCTTGTACAAAACCACAAGACTTTTTATAAATCAGAGAAACTGACTCAAGAATAAAAATCCAGGGCACCGTTAATAATTCCTTCTGTACAAGAAGCGGTCGACAGCGTTCTCTACAGCCTTTTTTACTAAGATAACGTAGGGCCCCTCTTTTGTAGTAGGAATGCCTACCTTGGTGGTTATAGTTGTGGTTGTGATCTATTCTACTTGTGTAGTTTTTTGGGATTCTCAAAGTTTGTTAGGCTGTCAATTTATGCCAGCTAAGCTTCCCTGATTTTCTGTGTTAGAGAATATGCAATGTTCCCTGTAGTCAGTGGGAATGTTGGTATGTAAGTACCTTTTCCATAGGGCCCTTTTTTTCCTATAGTCTTGGATGTGCTTGGCAGTTATCCATGGTTTCAGGCTCGGTTTCAGGTTATTCACGCTTTTGGTTTTGCATTCGATGTTGATATCTAATATTTTCTCTAGTTCTGAGTGAAAGCTGGCCCATTCATGATCTATATTGTCATCAGAGGGGACTTCTTCCCAGTTGATTTGCGATATATAATGACTTATATCTTCATAATTCACATGTTTCCGAGTATGTTTCATTTTATGAACAGTTTTCGAATCTGTGTTAACAAGTCCTGCTTGCAGTGTCAGTTTTAATAGATCGTGGACCGATGATTTTCCGATGGGTGATAACTGTTCATGTTTGGTGATAAAGTGTCTAATTTCTTGACTAGAAACAGTAATAGGACTAAGCAAACGGTAAGCCTACAGTGGCTGAAGACTAAAATTCAACAAAACAACATGGAGCATGAACATGACCTGTATTTTCCTTCAAGTAGATAGGCTCATCATATTGAAACTATCAAGCATGGATCTATATGAGACCTGTATGGATAAATACTATTTTTCTTTACATAAAGATGTTGTAAGAAACGTTTTTGATCCGAGTTTTGAACCTTTTCTATTTCATTGATGTTTACTGCAGTAGTTGCATTCCAAATTTTACTAGCACATTCCAAATTTGGTCTTACCAGAGAGTTATATAAAATTATCATAGTTTCACTTTTCACTACGAGAATGTTTTCTGTTAAGTATATAACAACGAGTCTAGAGCTTTGTAGACTTTATTAATACTAGACATGTGATGGTTATTAAATCTGAAAGTATCCTAAGATTTTTTATTACAAATTTACCATTGCCTACAAAGTAATCTTTACCAATACAATTAACCTTCCGGGTATATTTGACTACCGAGCTAGGGTTGCCAGACGTCCCGATTTTAACGGGACAGTCCCGATATTGGAGATTTTGTCCCGTGTCCCGATGGACTATACGTCGGGACGCTATTTCTCGATTTCACGAAATTCTTTTAAAAGTAAGAAAAAATTAAAAGTACCTATAAGGGCGGGTATTATAAAACTATTTTGACAGATAACTAAAACTTAACTTCTGGAATTACAAGAGAAGTAACGTCATTCCAGAAGTTAACTTTTAGTTATTCTGTCAAAATAGTTTTATAATACTCGCCCTAAGTCACTTATTTTTGAATTGTACCCACTTGTTATCCCCGAGTTTGATTATATTTCTCAGAACTCTATAATCGTCATTGATAATCACTGTATGTGGTGGATCTGTTAGATTTATCTACACAGGAAGTACCTAGGTAGTCTATTTCGTGAGATATCATATTGTCTGGAGTCTAAAAATATCCAGGTTCTTTTTCTGTTGGTGTAAAAGAATGGACTTTTTGCCCATAATAAAAGGTGAACATTTTTGAAAATAATTTAGTTTGGGTTTGATTCACATTTTCCACATTTATCCAGATTTTAGCCCTTTTCTCATTATTTAATCTCTCTCTTTCTGTGGAACATTTCTCAGTTCTTTGCACCAGTAGGATTTTTTTCTTCAATCAGATATTTTAAGTTTTTTTTTATCGCGAATATCACAATCTTCATTCATTTTTAGGAGACCCGTGTTTTTTTTATTTTATTCAAATATTATCAAATTCAAATTTACTTATGACTATTATCATAATTATTGTCAAGATTTTTTTGGTTTCGACGACAAGAATAAACTAATGCATTTTATTATTTTGCGTTATTTTTTATTTTTAAATTTTTATAAAAATTTTATTCTTCAGTTTTATTTTTATATCAAATTATTCCTTTAAAAAAAAGTGTCCCGATTTTTATTCAAAGTCCCGATTTTCAACAGCTTTTTGATTGGTATACCCGATTTGTAGATGTTTCAATCTGGCAACCTTATACCGAGCACTTTTCACTATTCACTGGCATTCTGTTATCTCTAAACCATTTCATGACCGCATCTAAATCAAACTGTAAGTCAGCACTATCCCTTACACAAGAAACCGTTTCAAAGAGCTTAAAATCATAGGATAAATTTGAAAATACATAATAATTATTCAATCTATAATATTCCGAGCCAGAGAATAAGTCAACGTATAAAAGATGCATAAATTAAATCATTACAACAAAAATTTGAAAATAAGTAAATTACAATCCAAAAATAAAAACATTACAATAAATAGAGGTGAAAGAACGATCAAAATACGTAAAACCTTAAGTCACATAATTAAAGAACTCGTTCAAACTATAGTATGCTTTACCCGTCAGAAATTTCTTTACTTCTATACAAAGCATCTTTTTATTGTTAAGCTTTCTCATGTTTAAAGGGAGTTTATTAAATAATTTTCTGCCTTCATATATGATAGAGCTACGTATGAGTTTTGAGTGGGGGATAGGCAACCTCATCACATAATCATGGCGCGTATTGTATTGACCCCTTGGCTCCAATTCGCACTTATACTCCCTCAAGACTAAACAGGACGTTTCCAGAATAAACATACAACAGAAGGTTAAAATACCGCGGCTCAGCAACAGAGCATTCAGGTAGATCGTTTATAAATATTATAAAAAACAGGGGACCCAAGTTGCTTCCTTGGGGAACCTCCAGCGTAGAAACAAATTGTTCAGAAAATCATAAAATGTATCTGCTCAAAACTGAAAATAACATTGATCAAAATCCCTGATCGTTTTGGTCAATTTTAGCAATCAGGTGGTGGGTCAACATCAACGAATTTGGTTTTGTATGAGTTTCCAGGTGGATTCTGACTTCTCTTAAAGTCTTCGTAAGGGTTAACCATCGCCTGCTCATCAATAATATTAGTTGTTTGGGGGTGGGAAATCCAATTATGAGTTAGCTTGCAAACTTTGACAAACTTGAGACAACTAAGACAGTTAAGTATGGCAGTGTTATGTCTTGTGTTTGATGTTACATAGTGTAAATGTTGATAAAGTCTTGGAGATTTAGATAATAGGTTAAAGTTTGAACCTCGCTTGACTAAGTTCATTGGAAAGCTTGCATCAGGTTGCTAGTTGCTACGCAATTAGAATTATCTCTAATATTTTAAACTTTGAAACAGCAAAGAGTGTTCACTGGTTGAGTCTCATTTGAGATATGTGATATGTTTTTGAGGTATTACCAGATTTTTTGGGCGTCGTTTCATTAAGATCAAGAGAAAGAAGGATGAGGTTCTGAACTGTTATATGTGCCCTTTTATAGTACTAATTATGATATTATCAATGAGTCGATCTCAAGGGTGCTCAGGTTTGCCAACTCAAGGAGTTAAAATTTTTGGTTGCCGTTCTAGTGATGCCTTTAAGAAGAGATTGTTAACTAAATGGGATTCGAATTAAGTCTAACAAAGATGAGCAGCATACCTAACTGATGACATAAATTTCACAAAACATAATGTTTTTTGAATTAGGTACCTATAGAAGCCCAGAATTTATGGTATTCTCATTGATACGTTTTCAATTGTGTACCACCCCAATTGTGGTAAAATTCTCGAGTAGCAACTTGGCATTGCCCCACCTCTCCTTACATAATTTTTTGTTTGCACCTAAAAGAGATTTTTCTCAGAAAACGTGAAAATGTCTCTAGTCAGTTTATGAGACTTTCCAAGCTGCCTGAAATCTGCAGTATTCATTCCTGTAGTACGGAGAATGTTCTTTCTAGCTACCAACCAATTTCCATGCCAAAACGTTCAAGTTTTACTGATAATGAGTTTAGGTCACATTTGTTGTTTATTCTGGATACAACAATGTTTCTGAGCGTGAACTTGATTCTCATATCCCTTCTAATAGGGTTGCCGATTATTCACTATACAAGTGAAGATACTTCTGCCTACCCTCCATTTTCTAGTAAAATCGTGCACTTGTTTTAAGAACTTTTAAAACTAAATATTAAATTGTATTCATTATTATTTTGCTAGTGTTTGATGACGGAGACATTACTACCTTAAGAAGGACAGCTCTCTGTTTGAAAAGCGGCAGACATTTCAACGAAAGTGAGACATTAGACCAGCTACCACTTACACATCCAGAACACTTTGGAATTCCAGTCATGGGTGGAAGACGGGGAAGAAGAAACAGGTTATTAAAGTAAGATTTGTACGTAATTGGAGCATACTTTAATCAAAAAAATATTGTTTTTCCCTTAGGGATGAAAGTAGTGATGAAGAATTAGAAGAAGAAACCGAACCAGATCTGGAAGGTTATACTCAAGATATTGGTCGAGTTGTCAGTGTCGAAACTGGCGAAAATAAACGAGGCAAAGAAAAGTGGTTTCCTGGTCTTATAGTTATTCCATCAGCACAACCCACTGTCAAGATCAACATTAAGGATGAATTCCTAATAAGATCTTTTAGAGACGACAGATAGTATGTTCCTACTTATAGTATGATTATGCAATAACTAGTTAATTATTTTTTTTTTAGCTATACTGTTCCAAAAAAAGAGGTTAACGAGTTCAATAGAGACCTAACAGAAAAAATTGACAGTGCTGGATTAGCTGAAGCCATACAAAAAGCTAATAAATTCTTAGATAACAATGAGCTACCTTTGCACTGGGAAAAAAGTTCACTTTTCCACAATACAGCTGATAGTGACAGTGAAGACAATGTTAGTGAAGTAAGTCATTTTGTTTTTTTTTTTATACCAATCTAATGTAATGTGTGTGTTTTAGACATCTGATGAGGAACAAAGTGAAGAAAAAGACAGATTTGTAGCTCAGCTCTATAAATACATGGATGATTCAGGTACTCCATTGAACAAGACCCCCACAATAGCTGGCAAAGATATAGATCTTCATAGACTATTTCTTATTGTGGATAAAATGGGCGGTTACAATAGAGCGACAAATCAAGGCAAATGGAAAGCTGTAGCTGGTAAAATGAGGCTTACAGTAAACCAAAACGTTTCCAATCAAGTGAAATCGGTTTACAAAAAATGCTTGCTGAGCTATGAAGGATTTTTCAGGACTTTGGGCGTTACTATGTCAAATCCTGTTAGATCTGTTAAGAAAGCTAAAGGGAGGAGTTTGATTAGGGATAAAGACAGGACACCAGGTAAAAATAGGATTGTTTGCAAAAATAATTTTTAATAATTATATATTCTAGTGAGTAGCCCAAGGCCAGAACGTGATGATGATCTAGCTGAAAAACCTGCCACTCCATTACCGGAAAAACAAGAACCTAAATTGAAAAGGAAATCGGAAGTGAAAGAGAAAGAACCTATTGTGAAAAAAATAAAAGTTGAACCTCGAGATACAAGCGGTGACGTGTCAGATACTCCCAGTACATCTAGCATAAGGCCAAAAAGGCACGAAAACAAAATGATGAAGGATAAAAAAATTAAGCCCGCCCAAGGAGAGAAAGTTAAGATGCTTGTTGAAAAATTTGAGGAGAGCGCTAAAAAAGAGGAAAAGGTATAATCTACTTATTATTTTAATATTCAACTTGAGCCAAATTTCATTTGTCCCTAGGTGCAATTAACGCGTTCCAAGACATTGACATCCTTGAAACCAAAAGAATTGGTCAAGGAAATGGTAACCACCAGACAAAGTAAAGAAGGAGGAGCTGCATCACCGACAAAGCCAGTAGTTACAAAACCTGTTAGGAAAGTTCCAGTCAAGGAAGAAGAGGTAATTTATAGGATTTTTTATATGCTGCATGTCTGTGCTGATTTTTGAATTGCATTTATTCTCTTGAAATCTGGAAGGCGCAAAATACTACTTTTTGAGTTTATTGGAAGCTCAAAATAGAGGTGGCAGTTATACTTACCAACTTACCATACTTGATTATTTGAAAGTATGTGGTATCTTCCACTATTATAGAGAATTTTAAATACCGATTCTTTTAAAATCCAAAATGTAAAAATAGCTACCAATGATACATTCCATACCACCAATAGATAATGGATAGAATTGGATCCCTTACCAGACTATTTTTATAATTAACTGATAACCAGGAGCATTTTTTTTTAAACCCTGTCTTCTGTTCAACAGGTGGCTTTGATAACTATCATGATTTCTTTTTTTTTTATCTATACGGAAATGAATAATGAAATTTCAGGTTACACAAGAGAAAGACAAAAAACCAAAAATCACCAAAAAGAAAGCTGAAAGCGAAAAGTTAGCCGACATCGATCCACTTCCAACAGCCAACCTAGGAGACAAATTAATCGTTTATTATGGACCAACCAACGAGTCAAAAGTGACTTACGAAGCGAAAGTGGTGGACATGGACAAAGATCCAACAGGCCCTCTATATTTTGTGCATTACACCGGATGGAACACACGATACGACGAATGGATACCTGCCATTCGCATTGCCGAAAACCTTAGCTCTGGCACAAAATCAAAACGAGGTGCCAAAGTTCCCACACCCGTCAACGTCAGACCTAGCTCCAGTAGCACTGGTCCTTCATGTTCCACATCGAAACCTTCAGCTGGCAAAAGAAGCCGTTTAACGTCCTCTTCCAGTAGAGGTGCTCCAGAGGAAAAAACTCCGAGATCTACATCTCCGTCTAGTGGCACTTCAACAGGCAGCATGTCAAGAAGCCCAGCTATGCATGCAACAAGGTCGATAAGACTTGCTGCTAAGCAAGAATCAAAAAGACGCAGGATATCCGCTCAGACTGATGTCTCCGCGCACTCAGATTCTGAACATGAAAGTTCTGAAAGTGAAGCTGAGCTTCCAAGGACAAGAAGTGGCAGTATTAAAACTGATGAAACAGAAGTTAAGACCTATAAAAAGAAAGCACGTGCAGTGTTAACTCTTGTAAGTATTGATTTTCATTTTTTATTTTTTTGTGTTAAGTTGAATACTTGTTTTTAGGCTAAAGTACGAAAAGATGCCGCAAAAGATGATCAGGACGCGGAAGCAGAGAAAGGCGATGACAAAAGGATAATAAAAAAAATTAAAAAAGCTTCAGAAAAATCAGCAGATGAAAGTGATGAAGAAGATAGTTTTGGTGCCAAAGGTAGAGATTTCGATTTGAATCAAATTCGCTCGGAACTTAAAGGGTTTTCCAAGGCCGTTAAAGTTCCTACAGCCGGAATTGACAAAGAGAATGTATCGTCGTCTGAAGATTCTTCTGAAAAAGTTAATATTAAAGAGGAAAAAGAAGTTGTTACAGTTAAGATCGAAGAGGAACCAAAACAAAAAACACCTCCCAGGCCGGCATCGCCTCCAAAACTGGAAAAATCCTCTAGTTCAGATGATATTTACGAATTCAAAGAGCCCGAACCGTTTGAATTTGAAACTAGGTCCAAATTAGGTGATGACAAAAATTCCAAGAAACGTCTTCCTAGAATTTTTGATTCTTTGGAGGATAAATCTCCTAGGAAAAGGGTTGGAGCCAGATCACCCTTATCGCCAGGTAAAATGATGGTATGGTGTTTTTGTTATCCTAAGAGTTTATTTTTTCAGGTAAGAGCGATAAATTATGCCGCCCTGAACCCAGAACCTATTCTCGGCTGCCAAAGAAAATCCAGCTTTCTGACGATGAAGATGATGACGACGATTTAATGGCCGATTTGTTGCCCATTGGTTTTAAAAGCAGCGTCGATCCATTCGATAAATTGTTGATAGAGTCGCAGCAAATTTTTAACATAAAGAGTAGCTCAGAAGATATCATTGAAAGTAAACCATCGGTAAGTGAATTTATTATTTTTTACTGATCCTGAATTCTAATTATCCCTCTCTCTCTATTTATTTATTCATTTATTTAACAATTTCAACGAACAACAGCCTAATTTTCACAATTACTATAATACTACTTTGAAATACATAATAACAAATTACAAATAATAAGTACAAGAAATTATTCTAAAATAACAATACAGAGTAAAACGACAAAATTCATAATGATAGCCTATGATAAAACAAAGTAAATGTCCATTTGTATATCGTTGGCAAAAGACATAATCCGAATAATGGTCGTGTGTTGGCCATATGAGTTTCCTCAGTTCCTAATTTACAGCTGAGAGGAGCTCAGGGCAAATCAGGTAACCTCTGAGCAACTTATAAGTCAATAATTAATAGAGTTTTTTTATGTCTATGCTCTAATGTTTCCAATGATATATTCTGTAAAAGATGATGATAGTTTATAAAATCTGATGGTATTCCTAATTTGCAACCTATGTATGTCAAGAATTTCTTTTGTACACATTCGATTAACTCAATATAAATTTTAAAATGTGGTGATCATACACAGCTAGTATTTTCCAAATGGGAACACACTAATGATGATGCATATAAGCCCAGGGGTAAACCGCCCTCCGAATATTCATGCAAACAACTCCTCAAACTACCTGCAAATTCCTCCAAATTCCTCCAAACTACTTACAAATTCCATAATATTCCCCAGAATTGTTCGTGATAGTATTTTCTATTTTTATTCGCTCAGTGTTAAAACCAATAAATTCCCCCAATTTCTCATACATTCCTCCAATTTGCTATAGATTCCTTCAAGTTCCCCCTCACATATTCCTCCAAATTCCCCACAAATGCCTCCAAACTCCCCACAAATTCCTCCAAACTCCCCACAAATTCCTCCAAATTCCCCACAAATTCCTCCAAACTCCCCACAATTTTAGCATAGTATTCCTAGGTGGTTTGCTCCTTGAAGATGAATGATTGCAGACTCTTGAATTTTCTTCATGTTCTCCTCTGAATGAAAAAAAAAAGGAAATTCAAGAGCTTGGAATAAAAAGAAAACAAAGTTTGAATGGGGTAAACCGCGGTCTGAAATCAATTTACAATCCCCTTGCAATCCATTGAAATCTCATTGAAATCTTGCAATCATATCTGAATTCATGTATAATCTATTGTAAGCATCTGGAGTGAATCAAATCCAGTTATAATCTTTAAAATCAAGCTGTAATCTTTGAAATCCATGTTGTAATTGAATCAGTGTTCAATCTGTACAACTGGAAATTTATTACATATTTCCAGTTAGAACGTCATAAAGGCTCAAACATCGTTTTTTTTCAACGCAGCTTCCATAGTTTTGAAGTTGTGAAGCTTCAAAGTCTTTTCACTTGGATCTTTATCAAGGTGGATGAGCAGAAGGATTTTTTTTTCTTTCATACATTCCAATCTTTTCTTTCTCCATTTCAAAATTTCAACCTAATCCCTGCAAAATTTTCCTCAAAGAAAGATAAAACCTTCTCGTTGTGATTTTTTGGAACTTTGTTTTTTTCCATAATGACATTGACACACTTTTTCGCTCATAACATTTTAAATTTCAATCCGATTCTGATGTAATTAGGCTCGAATTAAAGACAATTGAATCCTCTACAAATCTCTGTTTTGTAGTTTCAAAGCTGCTTCAATAGATTTCAAGCTGATGTGAAGCTTTAAAGTGTTTTTATTTGGATTTTTATCAAGGTAGATGAGCAGAAGGAAATTTTTAATTTTTTTCATAAATTTCGATCTTTTCTCTCTCCATTTGCACGGAGAACACTGTACCGACCATACAGAAAGTCTAGAGGTACTACTACAAACTCACTTTCCAGGTTCGGTAATTGTTGAAGCCCTGAACCAGGTCACTCCGCCTATCGAAGGGCCACAAAGCCCTAACGGCAGGAGCAAAAGGCTGGCTGGGAAAATCTTCACAATGAACAGAATAAAATGGGCGATCGATAGCTTCAGACCCTACAAATCTCCAGGCAAAGACGGGATTTTTCCCGCACAACTGCAAAAAGGCTACGAGCACTTAAAGGTACACCTACAAAAGCTCTTTAAGGCAAGCCTGCTCCTAGGGCACATACCGCTATCTTGGAGGGAAGCTAATGTGATATTCATACCAAAAACGGGTCGCCGACCCGAGGACGAACCAAAATCATATCGTCCCATTAGTCTAACCTCCTTTCTCCTTAAGACAATGGAGAAAGCAATCGACCAGTACATCAGAAGCGAAACTCTATTGAGAAGACCGCTCTACTCGAAGCAATTTGCCTATCAGCCAATCCACGATAAGTGCTTTACACTGCCTGGTTAAAGACATTGAAAAGACAATCGAGTGCAAAGAGATCGCTCTCACAGCTTTCATCGACATAGAGGGTGCCTTTGACAACACCTCACATCAATCAATCGCCAGAGCATTACAAGAATGGAATGTTGAAGTTCCAATTGTAAAATGGATAGAGTCGATGCTGAAGCACCGTCACGTTACGGCTGAAATAAACGGAGCATCAGCTACCGCTACCACGGTCAGAGGGTGTCCTCAAGGGGGTGTTCTTTCTCCGCTACTATGGACACTGGTGTTAGACAAAATTCTTACCAGACTGAGTAGTGCTGGATACCAGGTCATAGGTTACACAGATGACCTAGCCATCGTAATCAAGGGCAAACATGAAGGTATAGTGACAAGCCGAATGCAAAGTGCCCTAAACATCGTTAAAAATTGGAGCGAAGGCGAAGGACTATCCCTAAACGCAAACAAAACAATCCTTGTCCCGTTCACAAGAAGAAGGAAGCTAAATTTGAAAGCCCCGACCCTTAACGGTACACAACTAACATTTTCCAACGAAGTGAAGTACTTAGGGGTCACCCTGGACCAAACCCTCACTTGGAACAAACAGTTAGAGAAAACATGCTCTCGAGCTACATCAGCCATTTGGTCATGCCGAAGACTTGTTGGCAAAACATGGGGGCTAAAGCCAAAGATGGTATTCTGGATCTACCAAACCATAATAAAGCCTATGGTCACATACGCCTCATTGGTGTGGTGGCCCAAAACCCAACAAGTCACCGCTCAGATTAAGCTAAGAAAGGTGCAAAGGCTGATATGTCTAGGAATAACGGGAGCAATGTCAACTTGCCCCACCGCAGCCCTAGAGACGCTACTCAACATGCCCCCACTTCACCTATGTGTGAAAAAGGAGGCACTAACCAGCGCTCACAGGCTATTCCAAATAGACAAGTTCAAGCCTGGCGATCTGAGGGGACATCTGAAAATCGTTGATCTAATAACACTGGAGAATGGCAGCAAACCAAGTGACCACATGATGGTCAGATTGGACTTAGAGATCCCCTTCGCAGTGGTAATAAACGACCGCCAATCATGGGAGAATAAATAACTACCACAAGCAGACAATGCATCTCTGTGGTACACAGATGGATCCATGCTAATGGTAGGAGCTGGACTGGGCATTTCCGGCCCTAACTTCAAGCTCTCCAAGGCATTGGGTAAACATCTTACAATATTTCAAGCTGAACTGCTTGCCATAGATATATGTGCACAAGAGTGTCTTAACCAAAGCCTCAAAAGAAAACACATCTTCATACTATCGGACAGCCAAGCTGCCTTAAAAGCCTTGAGGGCTTTCAAATGCACGTCAAAACTAGTCTGGGAGTGTAAACAGACCCTAAAAACACTAGCGACACATAACCAGGTAACGCTGATGTGGCTGCCTGGTCATCGAGGCATAGAAGGAAACGAAGAGGCAGATGGCCTCGCAAAGGAAGGGGCCTCAACACCATACCTTGGACCAGAGCCCTACTGTGGCTTAATGAAAAGCCACATCATGGAAGAACTCAACAAATGGGAGAAAGACCAGCTGTCATCATATTGGAGGCACACACCGGGACTCAGACAGTCAAAAAGGTTTATTACCCTTTCAGCAAAAAGAGCTGAACAGCTCCTAAGCATGAGCAGACCAGACATCAGATTGGTGGTGGGACTGCTCACAGGACACTGCCCAGTAAAATACCATTTAAGGTTAATGGATAGAGCAGAAGACGATCTCTGCAGATTCTGCTTAGACGCAATAGAAACCACAGAGCACCTGCTCTGCGAATGTCCAGCCCAATTCTGCAAGAGGCTCAAATTCCTCGAGGGGGCAACACTGTCACCAGAAGAAGTGGGCCAACTGACACTCAGGAAAATAGCTTCCTTCGGCAGAAGTCTACGCTTCCTGGAGACAAATTAAGATGTAGAGTCACGCACAAAATATCTGCAAAGGTAGCAGTGCTGAGCGGCTGAAAAGCCGAAACGACTCCCCCAAAATCTACAAATCTACAATCTCTCCATTTGCAAAATTTGAATCCAATCCTTGCAAAATTTTTCTCAAAAAAAATAAAATAAAACCGTCTCATTGTCATTTCTTAGAACTTTGATTTTGTCCAAAATGACATTGACACACATTTTCGCCTACAACTTCTATAATTTCAATCCGATCCAAGGGCGTAGATACTTTACATTTCTGGGGGGGGGGGGTAAAGTCAGGGCCGGCCGGGGTGGGGGGGGGGAGGGGGGTTGCTTAGTACTAATATTTAAGTAGTTAAATACTTTTTTTAATTTATAATGCTAGTTTTAATCAGTTTTTTGACAATTGCTGTCAATTGTCAATTGTGACACATCACTAAAAATCTACCTGCCTTATTGGCTAAGTCCGTTCGGTTTTGCACTCTAAGGAGCGGAACGGTATGAGCATGGATATCGTGACGTCATAGGCAAAGTGAGCTCTGAACGAGTGTACGTAAGCCGAACGCAGATCGAAGAAAAAAACAACAGAATGGTGTAAATGGCCAAATTCATGTTCTGGGAATGTACTCAGAGCTGTCAAAGATACTTTTAAGAAGTATCTAGTTACAAGATAAGTTACTTTTGGAAAAAGTATCTGAAGTTGCTTTGGGTATTTGGTTA